GGCCGCGTGAACGTCTCGAAGTACACGCAAGCGTGCGCTATGATCGATACCTCATACGAGAGGCATCGATACCGCACCCGGCAACGGTAACGAATTTAGGCTCTCACGTCTCTCGTGAGCCGTGCGACGAGAGTGGAAGCATGCGAGAAGAACTGGTTCGTCGTGGTATGCAGCAGGAATCAGCCGCGTTTGCATGCTGCGTTATTTCGTGCGCATTCGCAATTCTTATCTCGCGATACGTGTTTCCTCATCTCGACAAAGTAAATCATGCTCGTTGCGGGGAATATCCCGAATTCTAGATTCCAGGTTTGCGTCTTTCCTTCACACTGCATGAAAAAATGCGACACGAATCCTCGATATGAATAATTAGGAAAAAAAGAGAAGAAAAATGGAATGTTTCGCAGAGCGCGCGGCTCGAACGGGGCACACTAATGAAGCTCTCACCGGCGCGAGAGGTCCACGTGAGTCAGGCCACGTGAGCGGAGCCGCGCGCGTTTTCGTGGCATGAGGCCCGTCTTGTTTTAACTCGCCACCCGTCGAATAGTGCAAGTAATCGGTTAATCGATAGATGGGCGCGCGATACGTCGCCATGAGACGCGGAATTCGCGGCGGGCAAACGAGATCGTTACATTGTTTCTGGTATTTCGTGCGGGGTGGCGGAAGGGGCGGGCGAATGACGTGTTACGATGGTAGTTAGCGGAAGAAGTCCTCAGGGCTACGTATATATACGTACGTACAGACGTACACACTCAGGCGGGTTATCGGTCTTTCTCTCTCACGGCGAGGGGACGAGGACGCGCGGAGAGGGGGGAGAGAGAGAAAAAAACGACGGACAAAGTCGGTGGTACAAACGCACCCGCGGTGATGATTAACAGCCGGCTTCGGCGTATATCTCCGGGGCCCGACCGGTCGAGGGTAATCGATTAATACGCGATATCGTGGCCGCGCGTCTCTCGCGGCCATTGTTTGTTGTTAATTACACTGATACATCTAATCGACAAGCGCGGATCGGCCGGACTATGATTCGGCGATTCGGCCGGACGCGGACCTCGGGCCGCCCGAGATGTAAATGTTCCCTTAACGCAGACATCGCCGGCGCTGCTCTCCGTCCCGCGGCCGGTTGAGACGCGCGGCGGGCCAACGGCGGCATTGTTTGGTAACATCGTAGCGTTGCGCCGCGGCGGTTTATCTGCGCCGAGCCATCGGATCGGCCATTCTAATTAATACGAGTCGACGCGTCACGGCGACCGGTTTCATTTGCGAGCGCGCCGGCGACGTTTATGTATGCGGGCGAGAGTACATTTCGCGCCGCGCCGCGCCGCAAATTTAATCGGACCATTCGTTTCGGCCGTTCTTATAAATCAGATTTGCCTCATCCTTCACGTTGCTATTTACCATACATTAAACGCTCGTTTCAACGTGCGGCCTCCGCGCTACATTTTAATTAAATAATCTCACTTATCGGCACAAAAAGCAATCAGGAAGTGGAGTCAACGAGGACCTGTATCGGGATTCGAAGCACGATTCATCCTCCTTCCTTCCCTTCCCCCATCTCTCTCTCTCTCTCTCTCTCTACACTTACCCACCTGTTCGGGGTTAACTGCTATATCGCCGGTTAATTGCGCGCGCGCGCGCTCTTGCTCGTCCGCAAGAACGAGCCGTGTGCCGCCGATGGTGCGTGGTCGCGGCGGCGAGTGTGTCGCGTTAATTACCGAGCGTTAGGCAGGCTCCTCCCTCCCGGCACGTAGGTAGATGGATGGATTACTTAACACTTGTCACGCCTCGCTAATTAACATTCAGTCATCTCCCTCTCGGAAGTGGCTCTCCTCTTGCGTCCCCACTCAGAACGATGACGACGCGACAGGTGGAAAGTCGTTTAATATTTATCGACCATCGCTGCCGACCCCGTTGGCACCTTCGGCGTCCGATACACACATCGGACCCCCCTTCGGCCCCGGCCCCGGCCCCGGCCCCGGCCAGGGCTCCGGCTCAATCAGAATTCGTGATGGCGCGCGACGCTTCACGGAAAATATTAGAATACGTCGTGGTCGCCGATTAGCGACGGATAAACGGACGGGTGCGAGGATCCTCCTTTGTTTTTTCTTTTTCTTTCGCTTTTTATTTGCACACTCGCGCCCGTCTGCGCGGACTACTACGGCAGGTCCTACGGAATTCCAGATGCAGGACGTTTCGTCCTGGCGAACGTAATCTGCGCGTTCGATCGCAACCGACTGGATGCGCACATTGTTGAACGCAGACGCGCGTCAATGTGGAAACTAATGAAACTCAATTCATTCAATGGGTCGTGACATCGCTCGGCTGACTCTAACGTCGTTGTCGTCGTCGTCGTCGTCGTCGTCGTCGTCGTCGTTGTCGTGATTCCTGGAAGATCGTTACGAAATGTTTGCCTCTGGAATCCTCGTCGGCCGCTTATCTGGACGAGAAACGCGCGAGATCGCGATGCAAACGAGGTGCGAAGCGTGAATGCGCGTTTTTTCCGTAAATTCGCGTCGCGTTCGCTCGTGAAATGAAACATTGTCTCATATTCGTCAAGGACGTCGGCCAGCGCGAGAATAATAACGGCCTGATTAACTCGACGCGTGAGTATTTTCTAAAACGCTCTGTCCGGTTTGCCGACTAGTTCTCTCAATTTCATCTTTCGCCTCGAGTCAGCGGCCATCATTTCGCGCACTTCCAGCAAAAGACCGCGGGAGTATTTCGTACCTTAAAAAAGTCGTGAGGGAGAATCTTTTGCGGGCAGTTCTTCTCCTCTCCAGCTCTCTCTCTCTCTCTCTCTCTCTCTCTGTCTCTCTCTGAAGGTAGTTTCTACATTGTTACAAAGAATGAAGATGAAAATTTTTACGTTTCTAACATGCGAGATCGCATGAAAGGCGTACGAGTAAGCGACATATCTGCGGGGTAATGATAGTGCTGTTAGAACGGTTATACGCTATACTGGATTCACACACCGGCGGCAATTGAAGAGTTAATTAACAAACTTAAGTAACATTTGATACGGTCAATGCTTGAATGGTTGACAGCCTGGGAAGACCGTGTCCCATTGGCGCTAATGTCGAGGCTAATGACTGTAGAAGTCGATGTCATAATTGAGAGAGAGAGAGAGAGAGAGAGAGAGAGAGAGAGAAAAAAAAAAGATAATGCCGGTATCCTGTACGGAGTACGACGTCGGGAGAACGGTTATGACATAATTACGCAAATATGTCGTCGCATTTCACGATTTAGCCATTCACCGTATGTCTCACTTCGGTCTGAAATTAATGACCACATGTTTATGATTTTAATCGGATATTTAATCAAACGGACGAGCGCAACGCGCTCGATGAAAATGGACTGCGCAAACACACCGGGGGATTGATATCTAGTATACTTTGTATGCCAGACACGATAATTAAACGAAAACGCTGGCGCACTGTAACATAAGAGAATCTCGTAGAGAGCTTCGTCCAACGTTTACGCGAACGGGTCCTGACGAGCGAGCGCTCGCTAAGAGTAAAGAGTTGCGCGAGTCCTCGCTGATCAGTGGTGGCTGATCGATCGTGGTACGTCACTGCGCCGCGATATCTAATGAGGCTATTAACACGCTCCGCGCCGGCGAGAAAACTTGGACAGGCGAGAGCGTTTATGACAGCCGATGACCTACCTAGCGGCTTCCATTAGAGCCGAGTACGAGCGCGGTCTGAGTGAGACATTTACCGGCTCCCGCCGAGCCGATCTCTCGGCTTTAGCAGGTGCCGCGCGCGGCCGGCCGGCCGGCGCGGCACTCGAGGTACCATTTAAAACTTCCTCGCTTTTACGCACGGCTGTACGCGCGACGCGTGCCTTCGGGCCCCGATCCGATCCCGGGCTCAGGACGCGACGCTATTAGCCGGCTCGGCACATTAGCGAGCGCCTCCGTGCGAGGATCTCCGAGGCGTTACGCAAGGCCCTCCATTACCGCGCGAATTACAAGTCGCGACTCTCGCGACCGGTTAGAAATCACTTACGGCGATCGGCTCCTTTACCGGCCGCGATGAGGTCTGCGGTTGGATAAATTATCGCGGGAATTTTCTCTGAACGTATGCAAATTACGAGGGGGGAGATGAGAGGGAAAAAAAGGAAAAGAAAAGAGGCAGCCGAGCGGTGCTCTGACAGAAACCGCCGCGCCGCGTCGCCGCCGCCGCCGCTGCGATTGCGTCGAGATTGCGTCGATTATATCGGGAATGAATCACGATCGCGCCGCAATCGTCATGGATGAGCGGGCATGTCGATACGCGTAGCGCGCTAACCTGCGTCACTAAGAGGATGAGAATAAACAAAACAAAAAAATCGTCGGCAGAATTATCCGCGGTGGCTTCCTCTCTATCCGCGCAGGTCGCGTATGATTTAACACATTGTTTCCCCTCCCGAGGTGGACTCACACGCGCGAGATCCGCGCTACGAGATGTGCGTATTTGCGTACATACATACCCTTGAGATAGCCTTGCCGGTTGATCCTCGCTAAATGAGATTGAAACGCTGCTGACGTTAGAGGATAATTATTCGGGGTTGTTGGCAATTAGAAGTGACGTGGGAGAGGTGATAATTCTCTCTGTGCACGGTGATGGTGTCATGTGTGACAGGCTATCGAGTAAAGTCCAATAAACGTTCATCGCGAGCGTTATCAAGGTGAGGTAGTGAAATTAAAACGACGTTAACGGGCATATCCTGTCCGATAGCGGGCAATTTGAAATGTTATCTCGTGGCGCCGCGCGCGAGGTTTCTCTTCCTGGCGCGCGATCTTATCACGCGACTTACGATATTGTCATTTATAAATCTTAATTAATAATCGCGACGCTCCCTATCGCTCTCGGAGGATATTACGCGACATCCTATCTTGATCGCAGCGGCCATTAGCCCAAAGACCCAAAAGGCCGGCTAGTATCCACTAACGAATAATTAATCGCTCCACTTATGGGCCGCCGGAGTATGGCTGATCGAATGCGAAATGCTTTCTGTTGCAGACTCGTGCGAACCCGTTGCGGAGCGACCTTACGGTGAGTGACTCACGATCTCAATTTCCCAGAGATTACAAGACCGTACTTAGGTCACTGTAAAAATCGTCTCGCGGAACCTTCTATTCAGTATCTTCCGTGAAAAAAAATATCCCTCCTATTACGCAGTCTGTGCTTTGAATCGCGTTGACTTACCGTCAGCGCAATTCGCCTCCATTCAGTGCCTCATTCGCCGTTGATTTCATACGGCATTGCGAAACGCGATGTAACGCCGCTGGGTGCCCGTTCTTTTTCTCTCTCTCTCTCTCTCTCTCTCTCTCTCTCTCTCTCTCTCTCTCTCTCTCTCTCTCTCTCTCTCTCTCTCTCTCTCTCTCTCTCTCTCTCTCCTTCTTTCACTCTCTCTCTCTCTCTCTCTCTCTCTCTCACTCTCTATCCCTCTCTCCCGTTTCTTTTATAGCGTGCACCGGCTCGGTCGTGCGCCTATGCAAACGCGCAAATTAGTTCAAATTCCCGGAATAACTGCCGCCGGTGGAAAGTATCGGCGGCCGATTAGTTTTATATCGCAAGAATATCAAATCCCGGCAAAAAGTGCTTTCGGTTGTAACAGGTAACAGGTTACGCAGCTGCGCCTTGTAATGACTCCGTGAGAATATCACGGTATGCTTTATCTCGTTTGCATGTATCCAGAAGAAGAGGAAGAAGAAGGAGAGCGCTTAATAGCAAGATAATGTGACTGAGTCGCGTCTTCTTTTATCGCGTCACATTGCCGATAGCACGTTAGGCAGACGAAATGCAATTTCCCGCGAATCTTCGCGGAGTAATTCCCGACGTGGCCGTTGGCTAGCTTCGTCTCTTCCTTGCCGCTTCCCCGCCGTTCGTCGACACTTTCGTACATTCGTTCAATGACGGCTGAGCGAATCCGACGACGGTCGGAAAGACGTTTCGAAAAGCCGTCCATCTCCGGGCGTGATATCAAGTCGGGGCTGTTAGAAGAGCATAAAAAGCCGCGTTGCATCCGGTCGCGACTCCTCTATGCCAGAAGTCGTAAAATTCAGCGTTATGCGATTCGGGGCCTGTGTTTTGTCCCCCTTTCGAGATTATGATTATCCCAGCAGTGGCGGCAGCGACCGTGGCTAATATCACGCAATAAGCACGCCGGGCCCAAGAAAGCAACGGCCTATCTCGCGCTCTCTCTCTCTCTCTCTCTCTCTTTCTCTATCTCTCTATCTCCTTCCCTCTCTCTCTCTCTCTCTCTCTGTCTCTTTCTTTCTCTCTCGCACGCTACCTCGCTCTCTTTCTCGCTCTGTCACTGCCTTTGGCTCCGTCTGTCTTCGTCATTTGGCCTCCTCTTCTTCTGCTTCCTTCCTTGGGTGTATAATATGTGCCACCAAACCTGATGGTGTAAACGGCCAGCCGGTGGAAACACGTGGATGGTCCAGGACGGAGGAAGAGGAGAGCCATCAAACGAGCCGCGCAGCCCTGCGAGGGCACTCTAACTTTCCTGAAGCGACTCCATCTTCACGGTCTATCCTGTGTTTGAGAACACCGAGGCTCGGTAGTCGACTAGGTGTTGCGTTGCTAATGGTGGCGGAATGCTCTTGGGATTATTCTTGGCTTGTTCGTGTTTAGTGAAAATATTGTAATATCAAGTGAAAGAATCTGTTCGTTCGACGACTTTTCAATACCCAAGCTTAAAATCTCGTTTGCTCAATTTGTCAAGAAAAGAAACGATACCTTTCTCTTAGCTATTGCTTCCTTCAGCGAGAAGTTTTATCGTCCGCGACTCAAAAATTGTTCGTATCAGTTCGAGCACCTTTGGACGAACATGCGCCGAAGGACTTTTGTAATTCGCGTTTCGGTGGCGGGCTCGAGGTGGTCGAGATTTTCGGGGGTTGTCGAATCAACAGGTCTCAGTTATGAGAGTGTAAAGCGTTTTGAATCTGACCCTTCGAGGGGCATGAATCCTCGCCGCGAATCTCGATGTAGGAGAAAAAAGGGCGAATCTTGTCCGTGGGGGGTCGTGTCAGGCTGCTCCTCTCTCGATCGGTGAAATTGCGCGCGTGTGTTACTCGCGCGCGCGCGCGCGCGCGTGTGTATTAAGCGTTGCAAGGGTGGGCCGCCGGCTTCACGCGGGGGTGGCTGACAGCCGATTAGAGCGAGGCGGGAGAGAGCCGAGGGCCCCCACGGAAAACTTAAAATAACATCGCTCGATCATCCGGATGTCTTCGTAGACAGCCGACGACGCCGTGCTCCTCCATTCAAATGCTTACTACTATGCCGTCACCTTTGCCACTTCCTGCTGCTCTATCCTAATCCTGACCGACCTTGTCAGCGATTGTCCTGCAACGTATGTTGCGAGTCAACCTATCCACATGAACATACAGATAGCTGTCAGTTGATTCGATAGCTACGTGTGTATTCGACATCTTCTCTCACATCATAGCGTATACTCTATCGAAAAATTGTGCATACAAGTAAAAATTAAACAATTTATTGGCGATATTTCAAAGATGGATATAAAATCTCATTTTTACATTGTACGAGGAATAATATCGACAATCTTGTGATAATACATTTGCAAGGCAGCAAGAAAATTTCGAGAATTTTTAACATCTCATAAATAATATAAATTTCTCGTTTTCTTTTTCATTTTTACAGCGTGTGTGGTATTTCTTGAATTCACTTACGCGACGAAAATTTTTACTCGACTCTTCAGTGTCCGTTAATAATAGCTAGGAAAATTTCAGCAAAGTCGGAGGTTGAGCACCTCTTCGATGCTCATTACAGAGCGTCCCGCCCCCGGCGGCGGATAATCAGGGTGTGTGAGGGAGTGAGGGGGGCGGGGGCGGTGGGTGACCTCGCCCGGGGCCTTTACTCTCTTCTTCTTCGTCCTGCCACTTCCACGTCTCTTTACTTTGTTCCTCCTCCCTGACTGAGTACACCTTTCTCTCTTCGCCCTTCTCTCTGCACTCGTCTCTCTTCCTCCCGCGACGGTATCCGAGTCCTTTTCTCTCGATGCTTTCGTCTACCAACTACCTGCGAAGGTGACGGAGCAGCAGCTTGGCTTTACGAGTCGCGACCTCGCCGGTACTTTGCATCCGGTGTGCATTTCTGTCATTCTTATCGCCTGTCTTCTCTCGTTCCTCTTTGAAATTACATTAAGTAAATTACAACCAACGTAAATTATAACCTCTGTGCGCCACACAATGTACGCGTTATTCCATCTGATATTTTGCACCAATTATCATTAATTTTTACTAGTTGAGGAAAGGGATGCGATAAAGTTGACCTTGAAAAAAATTTGGCTTTTGTAATCATCACACAAAAGGTAAATAGAAAATAGATTTTTGTTAAATTCAGCCTGAAGTTTTACTTCGTGTCATAATCTAAATTGGTTGTTGCGAAATAATTTTCCTAAATTTTGCGTACCGCATTTCTCCGCCGAGATAATCGCGACTGCCTCGGCATTTTCAAATTAGGGAGATGAATCAGTGGCGCGGGAGAGAAAGAGAGCCACCGGCTATTTGGCGGCGAATAATAATGATTATGGGCAGGTACTCTCCGTGCGAGCAGGAAATGGTGGCCGGTGAATCGTGGGGGTGGAAGGTGAAGCTTTTTAGTTCGTCGGTTCACCCGCGTTCAGTCGCTTTGCTTCCTTTTCCGTGGTTTATTATCTATGCAGGGAAAAAGGAGAAGAAAGGAAGGAAGGAAGGAAGGAAGGAAGGAAGAGCGAGTGCGCTTCGGGGTCAAGATTCGAGAAGAATCGAGAGTTTCGGGACACGCCGCTGAATAATTGGAGTCCAAACAGCGGAATCGACGTTCTACGTGGATTCTCAACCTGTGGATCCGCGTTTGTCCCGATCATCGAGGGGAAAGAACTTGCTTATATCGGGGAGATTAACGTTACCGACGGCCGAGATAAAATGCTAAACGACCTTAAAAACTGGCATCCTGCGGAAGCGCTTCTCGCACGGACTTTAATCCTGGCTCGATCTAATTTGCAAAGAGCGCGCGAAGAGAGCAAGCCGAGCAGCCACTCTACGCAGGAAATCTGTTACGGTTCTCGCAAACACGATCAAAGAAATTTCTTCCGCGAACAGTAATTCCACGCACAAGAGGCACCGGTACGGCCAGCCGCTTGTCCCTCTTCAGCCTCTTCTCTCTTGCTCCTGCCGCCGGTTTTCTCAAAAAGTGTATGCACGCTTCTCGCAGGCCGCGCTTCCGAGAAATTTTATATAACCGTCGTTGCCTATTCACAGTGCACGCGTACCTGGTCGCCGGGAGGACGCGATATGGCGTCCCTCCTCCTCGCCGTTACGTATCGGAATGTACTACTGTACTACGACGATCGGCTCTCGATCGCCCGTTTATCCCGTTACGAGATTCTTTCTTTCCTCCGCGGACACAGCATCAGCCGTCTGTCTCGAACTCGTTCGGCGGGTGCGCAAGAAAACCTCATCTTAGAGCTTCCACTGGCGCGTCCTTTTGCCCTCTCTAAAATGGTTAAGACGGTTCAACGAGCCGCCGAGTTGGCGCGCGCCTGAGACCTTTGTCCCGTTTAGGGATCGACGGCAGGAACCAGGCAGGAACGCAGATTTCACCGCACTTTTGACTCTCTAAACAGCGACGCTACGAAACGTTTCTGGAAGAGTGCCGGGACGATTTTACGTCTCACAGAGACGCGTGAGTCTGGAAATTGCGCGGTAACATGTCTCAAAGTGGACTGCCTGTGGTAATTTCCGTAATTATCCCCTCTTGCCCGCGCGCGCGCGCGCGCGCGAATTTGCATACGCGACCGCAACGAGGCACGCGGCGCGCGTTATTCAGCCTCTTGAATAGAGCGGCGATGGAATGCGAGTGTTTCCGGAATCTGTCAACGAGCGAATATGAGAAACAACCGGAGACCGGAGACTTATCCGGCCTCTATCCGAGAGCGAAATGTCCGTTCACCTTCAGCACCTTCTGCAGGGAAAGAACACACTGTAGTTCGCTGCTGCGTGCAAAGGCTACGGACGGTCCTGGCGCCGCTCCGCTATGAGAAC